TGATCGCTCGTCCAAAATGAGCCGAAACGAGTGGAACATGACCGAGATATGAGCCTCAAAGTTGGGAAGTTCGCACTCTTTTCCTGCCAGGCCCGCGAAGCTGTGCACCGTGGTCTACTCGCTTCTCGGGAACATGCTCATCATCAACTCGCTCGGCCTGCTGGACCGCCTCGCGACCGTGCGGTCCATCGAGCGGCAAAGCGGCGGCGCGGCGGGGTGGGTGCGCGGCCACAAGTACGGGCTCCTGGCCGCGCTGAGCGCGCTCTACGGCGCGACGCTCGTCTTCGCGGGTCTCGTGGCGCGCTACGCGGCGAGGTACGACAAGTTCCTCGATTGTCTGCTCTTCGCGGTGACGAACTCCATGACCTGCGGCCTCCTCTACGGACAACCGTCGTCGCGCGACTGGTGGTGGACGACGGCGTCCGTCGTCCTGTCCGTCCCGGCGGCGGCCGCGTGGTGCTCCGAGCTCGCGCACCTCGTGTTCCTCGAGTACGAGAACAACGAGGCCGCGCTCTACGCGATCGCGTCGAAAAAGGCCGGGGCGCGGCGGGAAGGGGAGGAGCTCGGATAAGTGGTTCGCTGCCGAGGAGTCGGAGGTGTCTCGCCCACGACGCCTGGGGTCTGCGCGCGCAATTCGCGCGCGAAGATGCGACACGAGACGTTCCCACTGCTCATCAACTACTGCTCAACATCTACGATTCAACCGACCCGCACGCACGCGGCCGCGTCTCGAAATTTCTCGCTCGCTCCCCCGCGCCTCCCCCCCGCGCCCTCTTGGCCCTCATCTCGCTCACGCCTCTCCTTGGTCTCGTCTTCGGTCGGCGCGACATCGCCCGGGCTCCTCGCGATTTGTTCATCACCTCGCGGTTTACTCAGCGTCTCACAGGTCCTTGCGATGCCGCTCCACATTCTCACCGCCATCGCCCTCCTCTCCGCCGCCCACCAGGTCCAGGGCATCCAGGTCGCGGCCTCGTCGTCGAACCTCGGCGCGCCGGCGTCGGACGCCGAGGCCGCGGCCTCGCTCAAGGACCGCTTCCTCCGCTCGTCGGCGTCGGCGCAGGACCTCGTCGCGGCCAAGGAGCCCGCGCAGCTCGACAAGGTCGCGCACGCCCAGGAGTCGCTCGTCGCGCTCTCCGGCGACTCGCCGTCCTCGGACGCCGAGGCCGCGGCCTCGCTCAAGGGCCGCTTCCTCCGCTCGTCGGCGTCGGCGCAGGACCTCCTCGCGGCCAATGAGCCCGCGCAGCTCGACAAGGTCGCGCACGCCCAGGAGTCGCTCGTCGCGCTCTCCGGCGACTCGCCGTCCTCGGACGCCGAGGCCGCGGCCTCGCTCAAGGGCCGCTTCCTCCGCTCGTCGGCGTCGGCGCAGGACCTCCTCGCGGCCAATGAGCCCGCGCAGCTCGACAAGGTCGCGCACGCCCAGGAGTCGCTCGTCGCGCTCTCCGGCGACTCGCCGTCCTCGGACGCCGAGGCCGCGGCCTCGCTCAAGGGCCGCTTCCTCCGCTCGTCGGCGTCGGCGCAGGACCTCCTCGCGGCCAAGGATCCCGCGCAGCTCGACGACATCTCGCACGCCCAGGAGTCGCTCGTCGCGCTCTCCGGCGACTCGCCGTCCTCGGACGCCGAGGCCGCGGCCTCGCTCAAGGGCCGCTTCCTCCGCTCGTCGGCGTCGGCGCAGGACCTCCTCGCGGCGGCCAAGGAGCCCGCGCAGCTCGACGACATCTCGCACGCCCAGGAGTCGCTCGTCGCGCTCTCCGGCGACTCGCCGTCCTCGGACGCCGAGGCCGCGGCCTCGCTCAAGGGCCGCTTCCTCCGCTCGTCGGCGTCGGCGCAGGACCTCCTCGCGGCCAAGGAGCCCGCGCAGCTCGACGACATCTCGCACGCCCAGGAGTCGCTCGTCGCGCTCTCCGGCGACTCGCCGTCCTCGGACGCCGAGGCCGCGGCCTCGCTCAAGGGCCGCTTCCTCCGCTCGTCGGCGTCGGCGCAGGACCTCCTCGCGGCCAAGGAGCCCGCGCAGCTCGACGATGTCTCTCAGGGCCAGGAGTCACTCGTCGCGCTATCCGGCGACTCGTCGTCCTCGGATGTCGAGGCAGCGGCCTCGCTCGAGAAGCGCTACCTCCGCTCGTCGGCGTCGGAGCAGGACCTCGTCAAGTCCAAGGAGTCCGCGGACTTTGACGACGTCGCGCACGGCCAGGAGTCGCTCGTCGCGACCTCGGCGATCGAGTTTGAGGATTCGATGTCCGAAGAGCAGAGCGCGCGCCGTCTCTCCGACGATTACTGCGAGGACACGGACAACGGCGCGACGGACCAAGACGGCGACGATTGCCCCCAATATTTCGAAAACTGGTGCGGCAAATACGATGATTCGGACTTCGATGCGAATGCCATGTGCTGCGTTTGCGGCGGCGGGAGCGACTACAGCGACGGCGGGAGCCGCTACAGCCATTGCGAGACGATCAAGGTATCCGGCTCTGATCATCACGCGACGCACCATGGCACGTACGAGTTCAGGAGCTATTGCGAAGATCTGCCCTACTACAAGTGTCGCGATTGTTCCCACAGCAACGATCAGTACATCTTTAGATCGCCTACGAGCAGCAATTGGCTTATTGGCTCTGACGGATGCGGCGTGACCAAGGGCGTGATTTCCGGGTCCGATTCTTCTCCCACGGACCCCAGCGACGTCACGTCATTCTGGAGTGAATATGACGGCGACGAATGGGTGCAGAACGCTGTCATTCGGGTCGAGTGCCTGGACCGTTGCGAGACAATCAAGGTATCCGGCTCTGATCATCTATGGACGCTCCATGGCACGTACGAGTTCAGGAGCTATTGCGAAGATCTGCCCTACTACAAGTGTCGCGATTGTTCCCACAGCAACGATCAGTACATCTGGTACTATAGCCCCCACAACAGTTGGCTTATTGGGTCTGCCGAGTGTGGCTCAAGTTACGCCTCTTTTTATGTCTCCGATTATTCTCCCACGGACCCCAGCGACGTCACGTCAATCTGGAGCGAATCAGACGGCGACGAATGGGTGCAGAACGCTGTCATTCGGGTCGAGTGCCTGGACGGTCGACCTACTCCCCGACCTACTTCACGGCCGACGCGCCGACCTACTCCCCGACCTACGCGCCGACCTACTCGTCGGCCGACGCCGCGGCCTACTCGTCGCCCTACTCCGCGGCCAACTCCTCGACCGACGCCGCGGCCAAACCCGCAGCCTACTCCCCGGCCTACGCCCCGGCCTACGCCCCGGCCTACGCCAAACCCGCAACCAGCTCCCGTTCCGAATCCTCGGCCGACGCCGCAACCTACTCCCCGGCCTACGACGAGTTCCGGAAGCGGCAGAACCAGCGGCGCCAGCACGGACACGATCGTCATCGCGGCCGCGGCCGTCGCGGCCGTCGTCGCGGTTGCCATCGCCTGCGTCTGCATCATGCGCCGCCGGCCCAAGGCCGCCGCGGCTCGCGCGGACTTCAACGTCGAGGCGCCTCCGGATCGCGA